ACACACACACACACACACACACACACACACACACACACACACACACACACACACACACACACACACACACACACACACGCACCGCACCGCACCGCACCGCACGGCACAGCTTGGCCTACGTATTTATTGGTATTCCCAAACTAAACTTTCTTGAGCGTGCAATCACACATAATCCCTTCTCTACACTTTCACGTTTTCTTTTTTCTCTTTCTTTGTGTGTGTGCGTGTCTGTGCGGTTCCCTTCTTTTGCTTCCTTCTTTCTTTTGGCTTCCCAACCATCTAGTTCTGCTTCTGCCGCGTAGGAAACCTGTGGCCGCGTTTCTTCCTTCTCTTTCTTTCTCTTGCCCTCACTGTACACCTGGGCAAATGCTTCCTTGGCGTCGTGCCGTGCCGCCGTTCATGAGGCCAAAAAACGACAAGGAAGAAAAAGCCCCCGAGCCGCTCGATGCAGAAGCGAGTCGCTGCCTCTTTTCCGCACAATCCGCAGGCCTTTGGCGGTGCGGCGGAGGATATTGACGACTCACAGTTGTACACGTCTGCGGAGCTCTTCCCGTACCTCAGCGTGGAGGACCGCGCGACTCTCAGCAAGGAGGTTTTGGCCGCGATAAACAATGAATTGGTGCACCATGAGAATTTGGAGGTTACCGTCCCACGTCTTGTGCGTTCCTGTGCCAATGAGGCGAAGGAGCTTCGTCGCGCCATCAATTCCATGGCCTCGTCGCAGATGCTGGAGGGGCATCGCGCAGTGCAGGTTGTAAAGGAGTGCGGTGAACGCATTCAAGACCTCCGCGAGCTGTTCATGAAACAAGGCGACCTCATCACGGGAATGGAGGTGACCTCAGGGAGCTATGCGCAGTTGCGACAGCTGCACTTCCTACGCGAAAATATATTGTCCGTTATAAAGTGGGCCGAGGCACTAAAGGAGGTACGATACACTAATTTATATGGCCTTGTAGAGCAAAGACAGTTCGCGGAGGTATATAAGCGCCTACGCCGTTTACAATTGATTCGACGGGCAGTGTCCGAAAAGGGAAGTAGTAGCTACCGCAATGCTTTTGAGCCCTACTTTGAAAAGTTGGACGCGGTACAGTCAATGTTTGTGGCGGAAGTCTACAAGCTATTGGAGGAAAGCTCCGTGCATGTGGCCATTCAAATGGCACTTGAAGATGTCCAGGATGCTGGCACCGTCGCGGAACTTTTCCCAGAGTTCACGCAGCTCGAGGAGTGTCTGCAAGTCTGTGGGGAGGAGGTTGGAGGAGGAGAAGTTGGATCAGAAGGTGGCGCTAGTAGCGGTGTCTTGTGCAACCTTGACGGTGAACCACTCATCACGGAGGAGAAGGTGTACAGTGCGGTCCGCAAGTGTGTGGCTCGACTCTGGGAAGAGCAGGTTATGGTGGATGTTGTGGACCCCTTTGGTCAGATCACCACGTATCTTGAGCAGATGAAAAAGGTGGCGCCACTGCTGGGTGCGCTGGAAATGTCACTTATCCCGCTTTCGACGAAGTTTTCCTTTTTTGCCATCGTTGTGGGTGCCATTCACAGTGAGGTGATGGGTGTCCTGCAGGGGTACGTGGATCCCGCCGCGGAGGTCGAGGCGACTGGTCTACTTGAGGCCTCGCACTTTATACAGTGGTATAAGGGGGCCATGACGGAGGCGAATTACGCAGCGTACATTGACCTTGACGCCATCGATGGCCTTTCCGCGGTCATGATGACATCCGCCGTCGGGGGTCTTTCTGCGCATCTTATTCGACTCTGTCGTGCGTGTGCCATCTCAACTAGGAGTGGACGAAGTGAGCCAATAACGCTGCCCAACGGATTGCCCGTGACGACGGGTCCGGTGGACATGTTTGCGGTGCTGCAGCAATCCTTAGCAGGCCTTTCTACTGCCATTGATGTGTCTGTGATGCGCCAGATAGGTGCCGCCTGTGCGGAAGCGATTGGGGCGTACCTTGAGGAATGCAAACTGCACAGCGATTACGACTTCTGGGAGGAGGAAAGTGAGTCCACAGGGATTCCTGTTGAGGAGTGGACGACACGTCGATTGGTATTTCTCTACGCCTTCTGCAATGACTGCTCAACGATTGAGCGTAATATGGACACGATTGAGCTCAAGTTTGCCTCGTATTGGGACGAAGAGGAAGGAGGTGAGTATTCCTCGCCGTTTCAGAAGACGCAAGACGTGCTTTCTGAGCACGCCTCGTTCTACGTGGACGAGATCGTGCTACACGTTGAGCGGGTGGTGAGTGCGCAGTGGAGCCTCGTCTTCCGCTCCAAGGAGTGGTATGGCAACAACACCAACCCGACGGAGGTGATTATTGACACAATGGGTGACTTTATTGATGAGGAGTTTACTAAGGCACTCGAAGAGCCACGGATGCGCATGGCTATGCGGAGTATGCTGATGCGATACGTTCACAAATACATTACCACGCTGATGGAGTTCCTTGGCGAGGTTATACGCCACCAAAGTACTCGCCATGTGGAGGACTGGAATGGGTTTGTGGACTGCTTTAGTCGTGACATGGTGCTTGCCATGGAAATGTGGGGTGAGCGTGTGAGAGAGGGCAATGGGAAGCTGGTAAGTGCTGCGCGGCGTGTGCTGGAGTTGATCATGCACCTCCTTAGTGTAAAGAAGCCGGTGGATTTTAACTTTCTTGTGCAGAAGGACCTTCTAGATGAGTTTGGTGACTGTCCGTCCTTTGTAGTGCGCTTCATCTTGCAGGCTCGGCAGAATGAGCTGGATAAGGAGACGCGGGACGCCATGCTCGCGCTCTGGAGCGAGCGTGTGGCGCATCAGCAGCGCGGTGACGACGACGTCCCTACCGTTGGCTGGTCCCAAGCTCCCTCCATCCTCGGCGCGCTGGACCGCTCACTGGCTGAACTCGACAAGCGGGGCGGCCTCTTCCGCGAGAGTGCGCAAAAGCGGCGCGCAAAAGCGGAGCAAAAGCGGCGGGAGGCTGAAAAACGAACCAAGCGAGAGGAACGCCGTGTTAGGCGCGAGGTCAACGCAGCAGCCGCAAAAGTGAAGGCCCCGTCAAGGACGAGGCGGCTCTCCCTGGCCGATGAGAATGTGGAGGTTGCTAACCTCGCCGACCTCTTCAAGTAGGCGGGAAGAAGTGGCGGCGAAAGCGAAGCTGAGGGGACAATGTGAATTTACCTCCGTGACAGAGAGAGAAAGAGAGAGAGAGGGGCGGAGAGGGAAAAGAAGGCGCGTGGACGCGTGTTGCTTTTTTTTTTTTTTTAGCTGCCGTTGCCGTCCTGCCGTGGGGGTTTCTCCTGCTTTTGTCTATTGGTGATTGCTTTTTTTTTTATTTTATTTCATTCCAGCCCGCCCCTGTTGGCCCTCCTTTCTCCGCTGCGTGTGAGCGGGCAAGAAGCGAGGCCAACACGAAATGAAGAAAACCTCCGGGGGACCGCACCTTGTCGATGCGGCGCTGAACCTCACCGACTGTGTCTTTCGCGGTGTTGACTGGAAAGGGCGCCGGGTTCACGCGGACGACCTAGAAGAGGTCCTTCGGCGGGCGGAGCAGCAGAACGTGCGGCAGATGATTATCACCGGCACCAGCCTTGTGCAGTGCGTGAAGGCCATACGCCTTTGCCGTCGCTACCCCTCACGGCTGCGCTGTACCGTTGGGATTCACCCCGCCCACTCCGCCGAGCTGATGCGCCCATTGGACTGGGTGAGCGTCGAGGAGGCTGCTGGGGATGAGGCCTCGATTCAGACACCGCAACCCCCCCTTCCCGCCACCGATGCCGCGGAACAGGACCGCTGCACGCAGGAGCGGCTGCGCAAACTCGTGGAGTTGGTCGGGGCGAACCTGGACGTCGTGGTGGCTGTGGGGGAGATTGGTCTCGACTACGCCGAACTTGCATACTGCCCGCAGGACGTGCAGCAAAAATATTTTCTTCAACAGCTCCGTGCCTTTCGGTCGCTGCGGCTGCCGTTTGTTTTTCATTCACGCGACTGTGGCACGGACTTTGTGCGGCTCCTTGAGGAGGAGCGGCTGTCGTGGCCAGACGATATTCCGCTCGTCGGTGTAGTGCATAGCTTCAACGGACCCCTCGAGGAACAGCAGCGACTGCTGGCAATGCCTGGCATCTACTTCAGTATAAATGGAAGCGGATTTAGGGAGAAGCGCACTGCGGAGCAGATTTGCCGTCTTCCGTTGGATCGAGTGATGCTAGAGACTGATGCACCCTGGTGCGATATTCGCAAAAAAGATTACGGGGCACAGTTTGTGCGAACGCGTTTCGCGACTAGTCGCAAGGGGGAGCCTTTTTTGCCAACGCTGTGTCGTGAGCGCCGCAATGAGCCCTGCCACCTGCGACAGGTGTTAGAGGCGTACACTGGCGCACTGCGTCGCTTTGGGCTGGAGACGGCGGACGAGACGTTGCGGGACATCACAGAGGAGGAGGTTGTGCGGCGCGTGTACGACAATTGCGCCACCGTCTTTGGACTTGACGCCGCCGCAAACGTTCTCGCATAAAAGTGCTGATCGAAGAGGGCGGCGGGGGGAAAGAAGGCCTCACCTTGCGTGTGGGGGGCTGACTGATGCGGACTCCCGATACAGGGGCAAACGCTCTAGTTTGATCTTCTTTTTTAAAAAAATTAATGTATTTATTCTACACCTCCCCTGTCCCTTACTTTTTTTTTTGATTATTTTCCTTCAACAACAACCAAAGGGGGAGCGGGGGAGGTGTGCCGTGGCTGCCCCGCAATGAAGCGCGATAGACCCTTCGCCGCGGACGACGAGGGCCCGCCGCGCCGCCGCACACGTACGGATGATGACGCGTCGCTTGTGGAGGAGATTGCGACGGTTGAGGAGACCTGCACGGTTCTTCTCCGACTGCCGTGTTTGGACTTCTTTAGGGATGCGCACATATGCGAGGAGGCCGCTCCCCACGGCGCGGCCGCGGACGAAGGGGATGACCGGGGCTGGCCGCGCTTCTTCGCCGGCGGGCTCGCGTTTAGGAGTGGCACACTGGAGACGGCGCGCCCCGTCGTCGTCCTCCGCACGCAGGCGCACGGCGAAATTGAGTTTGAGGGCTCGTGGTCTGAGTCGCACGAGAGCCGCCTCTTCGAGGCGCCCTCAAGCAATCGCGTGGTGGTGCAGCTCTGCGAGAGAGGCGAGGATACGACAGCGAAGGGAGATGACGGCATGGCCGAGGAGGTGGGTGGTCACGCCAGGGGCGCCGTCAACGACCAGCGGTTGGCTGCCGCTCCAGGGGGCCCCGCAACTGGGGTTGGGGTGGCGAGTCTCCTGAAGCACCCGTCTGTCGGCATCACAGCTGACGAGGCGCGCGGGTGGCAAAAGGCTCGCAACGCGTCGTGGGGCTACGACCGAATAGATGTCCCATGCGCGACGCTGGTGTTGCGCCGTGTGAGGTAGGAGTGAGGACTCGCCTTACCTTCTGCGTCGTCGGGATGGAGGGCGGACGGCTACTGCAGCAGAGGGAGGGGGGGGGGTGCTCAGTCATCTCTTGAGGGCGATTCACCCCTTTTTTTTTCTCGCCTTGTTGTTCTTGCTGTTTACCCCGTGCTGGTGGTCGCAACGACGCTGCGAGCGAGTCGTCGCAATGGGACTTTGAGAACAAGTTCCGCCGTCCTTGAACTTGCGTGTGTGGGTTTAAGTTGTTCTCATCCTCTTTTCCCGCCGTGTGTGCGTGCGTGCCTTTTTTGCTTCTCCATCACTTTCTGGCCTCCAAGGCGTTGGCGCTTAACAACAACAACAACAGCGACACACGCTACGCACACGCCTCCAGAGGAAGTAGCGGCGGGTGCGTTTGTAGTTGCGTCGGTGGCCGCCGTGCGGGGGGAGGCAATGCTGCGTCACGTCGACTGGGAGTCGCAGCAGCGTCGACAACACCGGCGGGGCTCCGCTCACTCCCACTCCCCGCCACAGCAGCAGTGGCAACAGCGGGCACAAGAAGAGGGGCGAACGCCGCCGCCGCGGCGTGAAGCTCCGCCACCACCTCCGCTGGCGTTCACAACACCACCGTCCGTGAGCCCGTCTCCTCCTGCCGCTCTCAGGTCGGTGGCGTCTCCAGTGCCGCAGGCAGCTCCACCGCCCAGTTCGGCTCACGAGAGTCTTTTTGGCTGCCTGTCTTCAGTCAGCGCCGGCGGGCGTCTTCTTCATGACACCCAAAGCAATCACCATCGCCGTCTCGACGACGAGTTGGCGTGGCGCCAGGAGGCGCCAAGTAAAGAACGAGAACTGACTGAGCGGGAGGAGGAGTTCCGCGCCCTCGTGCAAATGCAGCACGCCGCGTACAACGAGCGACTAGAGGAGATCTCCCGTAAGGAAAAGTACCTCCTGGAGTGGGAGCGGCGGTTGCGCTCCGCGGAGAAAACAATACAGGCAGGAAAACACGAAAATTGTCACCTTTCCACAGCTGCACCGTCGTTTACTGGCGACGGCGGCAATCTACTCCGCAAGCCCAAAGAATGAGACAGAGGACGTTCGCCGGGGCGCTGTGTAGGGTGCGCTTCACCTCATTATCCCTACGTTAGATTAGACCAATAGTGCGACAACAACAACAATAATATATTTCTTTTTATCTTACATACCTTTCTCTCGAGAAGATGGAGCTGTATGTTTTACATCTACTACCACTCTCCCAGGAATTCCTCTTCCTTCTCTTCCTCCCTTTCATCCAGTCTCCACGCAGACCAGTGAGGCCACCCACCCACCCACCCACACACATACCCACCCACACACACACCCAGGCGACTCCAAGACGACACGAATGAAGGCCGTGCGCCACGTGCTGTTCGCCGTGTTGGCCCTCACGCTGTGCTGCGCGGCTGCGTGCATGGCGGCTTCCGAGGCAGAGCAACGAATGCTTAAGGTGTCGTGCAAGGAGGACGGCACGACGCTTGTGCGGTACGAGGATGAAACCGCCCTGACAAGGTGCGAGGAGCATGCGGAACGCGACTCCTGCGCCTTTTTTGAGCCCATGTGCCAAAGCCTAAAGAAAAAGTTCCCGGATGATACGGGGCGCTGGAACTTCTCATACTATTCGAATCGCGAGGACCCTGAGGAGGAGGAGGAGGAAATGGACTTGGCGCCCGCGGGGCCGGGGAAAGGGCAGCCGTGGCCCCCGACGCATCACCACGCGAGGGTGACGCCGAGGAGGTGCCGCCGGCAGGGGGCGCGTGGTGCTGATGCCGCTGCAGTTGGGGCCCGGCGCAGGAAGCCGCTGTCGGCACGCGAAGCGCTGGCGCC